CTCTGCCGGCCGGGGGAGGCCCCGGCCTTGCAGCAGAGAGGACGCGGTGCTGCACGCAGCTCCCCGCCCGGGGATAAGCGCGTAAAGGGCCTGTCTGGGCGGTTCGTTTCCTTGCGGGAACACATGGGGGCATCTGGGGCTGCGCACAGGCAAACCGGCGAGCGACAGTCTGCCCCTCAGCCCTACCATGTGTAAATGTTTACTGCTGCTTACCTGCAAAGCCAGGGGGGAGAGGCAAAAAGCCCTAGTGAGGTAAAAAACAAAACAAGAAGTTTTTGTAAACTTCTCTTCAAAATACAAGGATGCTGTAAAACTTTCCTTTGAAATTAATTACCCAGTAAATTACAGTAAAGGAAATGTCTGCCCTTGGACCACAGATTATGAAGGAATCTTTCACCTCTGAAAACTTGAGGGATGCTTTCAGTCCCAAGCTTCAACAGGATTTTACCGGATGATTTTCACCTTCTCTTGGCAAAAAGACATGACGGTTGCCAGATGTTTACCTACTTTATTTAAAACAGTGCCATTTCAAAGCCACTGTGCTTGACAGAGATTACCTACAATTTGGATGTTATATACAGACTGAAACGTATAGCTGTTAATCTTTTAAAGTAATAAAAAAGGTTATCCTTTAATAAATTAGCTTATTTGGGTTTAGCAGCCTTTGTTACATCGGAGGACTTCACTACAGAACTCTAGCAGTCACTAAAAATACACAATGCAGCGCACACAAACGCTTTCCAAACCGGTTACACAGTACCCAGCCTATTGCTTACTCTTTGTGACTCAGAAAAGTAGGATATGTGGATAACAAGACAAACAAACATCCACTTCCAGTTTCCTTCTTAGGAATGTTAATTTGTTTTCCTTCTGTGTAGACAGCAGCACAAAATAATGACTTTTCATGCTAGAGTCAATTTAAAATCTTGTAAATAAAGCTGAAATTGATCTAGGATCCCTTGAATGTAAGTTTTAAAACGCATAGTGAAGAACTGGAGAACAAAACGGACTTTCTTTCTTTATGTTTTACCTCCAGGTCCGGATTTCCTCAGTCCACGTCCAGAAACTAGTTTTGTATGTTTGTCTGAAGCATAATTAATGCAGTGACTAGATGGACTATCATAAAGCATCTTTTTAAAGATAACATTTCAAATGTGAATATAGCAAACTTTCTAATCCATCCTGCTGTAATCCGCAAATCTGTAAGTCTCACAGGAGAAAAGGAAACGGGGAAGGAGTCTAGTTCACTTCTCATCCAAGCCAGAATCGCTCTGAAGTAGTATGCATTACTTCTCTTTCAAAGTTTAAACTTAGGAGTTTGATGTTGCCAAATCCCGATCACAATAGATGGAATTTAATCAGGCCTTTCACTAAGGTGCAGGTAATATATTCTGACGTATCATAAAAATAAAGCTATGCCTGTCAAAATAGCGTACTGTATGACAAGGTAGTCTCAATTTCTGTCTAATCCCACTTCTTCAGTCAAACGTGCAACATGTACTACCCTCCACAGATTTCTGAAACATGAATTTGAATTAGTAGACTGAACTAAAAAGTTCTATCAATTAAGCAGAGAGTTGTCTTAATCTGCATGACACAGATAACATTACATTGTAAGATTCTCTCCTTTGATTTAATTTGTGCATTTTTTTCATATGTATGATTGGATTCAACATTTAAAGTAAAATAAACCAGATCTGAAACCAGCTGAACCAGTCCTGCTTTCGTTTCCAGCATCTCAATCTGGAAAAACACTGTGTTTACTCTAAAGCACTGAAAATAAAAGCTATCTGATACTGCACATTAGGTTGACTAAAAAGAATGGAATATGGACAATTCAGCTGCTGAAGTAAGGACAGGTCTCATTTTCCTTTTAGACATTATGGAAGAAAAACTCAAAACATTTGAAAAATACTAAAGCAGGCTGTGTAAAATTAGGTATTCAATTTGTGTAAACATATTTCTTAAACATTCCTGTGTCTGTGATGTAAATAACTTAAGAGTAATAACACCAGGAAAAACAGGTTAGTGTGTAATAAAAACACAGCTGAGCCTAAAGTAAGGCACTGTGGTAAAATGTGCAGTTACAAGAGTCATCCAATCCTACCTTTTTCTAACCTTGTCTGCCTACTGTTTACACCAGTATGGGTATGGGACTATTACTCTGCCCAGTAGGGGCCTTGATTTAACTTAGAGATTGTTGCAAATATCATAAGACATACTAATTATCTTAGTAGCAATATCATATGTGTTCTTGAGGTAACTTTACCTGTAAATAATGAACACTGAAATTCCTGTAATTTAGAGTTACAATATGAACAATTACTTTGCATACTAGTAATGAATTCAGAAACTTACTTTGTGTCTAATATTTCAAGAGGCAAATGTTTTATACAAAGATGAAAATCAATTGCAAATATTTTATTTAAGAAAAAACAATTAATAGGCTGAAAAATAAGCAGCAGTTTTCTGTCTCTACACCTTGTGGTACTATCTTTCAGGAAATGCAAAAAGCATTCTGATTTTTACAAACTATGAAGTCTAATATTGGGCTGTTAAGTGCACTGCATTTTGTATTATTCATTTACTGTGTACAATAAACTAGCTGTGGTGTAAAGGCTATTGATTCCTTTGCATTAGAGTGCATTATAATGGTCAGCAAGAATATGTTTCACAAAGATTTTAAAAATAAATGTTGCGTTACATTCTGGAGAAGACTTCTAATGTGTTGGTTTTATATATATTTATATCCACAACACACCTACATGGTATGTATATTTGCTTAATTACTGAAATCTTAACTGTCTTGGATGGAGAATCAAGCTGGTCAGTGGAACTTTTCTAATCATATTTTATATGTCTGAGCACAGAGAAAGTCTCTGCCAATAACAACAACAACAGAAGAGCAGTGTGTATCACTGTATCCATTTTATAAACATTCATTCTTCTTGCCAACATTCCTGTTGAATAGGTAAATGGTTACTTCAAACTCTGGAAAATAGGATAAGGTTAGAGGTCTGTTCTCAGAGATTCCCAGCTCCTGCTGACTTTTATTCCATGTATAGGTATGCCGGGTATCTGAAAACAGCCAATACCAAGTTTCCTGAGATCACAAAGCAGAGACGGGTTCGCTGTACTTACATGCCCAGGAACTCTCTGGACTGACAGAAATGGACTTGTCATGAAGAGTCTAAGAGAAAAAACGAACACAAAACATCTGTTGGATTCAGTGGAGCAAAGATATTATCTAGAATTGTTTATTAACTTATGATAAAACACCCTGCAAGGGCTTGAGCTCATCTGTGCTCATACTCAGTGACTCCTCAGCAGTCCCTGCTGCTGGCAGAGAAGTAGGAGCAGTAGCACTTGGCAGAGGGGCAGTGACAAACAGCTGGAAATGATAACACTGCGGCCAGCCCTGCTCTGTCTGGGAGGGGACTCCCTTACTGTTTGAAACATCACCCTTGAAACCAGTGCAAAACTTTACGAAGTGAGGCATTACTCAAGCAATAGCTGTATGTTCCCTTCCAGCTCTGTCAGCTGAAGTTGGGATCATTTCACTGCTCACCCTTAACCAACACCTGCCACTGGGAGGGATGGCATGAACGCTCCCTAATCCACACGCAGGCAAAATCAGCCACCTTTAGCTCATCCTCACCTTCCTTAGCGGCTTAAACTTGGCTCAGCTTGCTGATTACAGGGTCTACACTTGATTTCTCCTCCAGTAGAGCAATATGGATAAACAACTGCAGATGAGATTGCCTTTGAGAACTGCCAGAGCTGTTCATACACCCTGCTGTCCATAGCCTGAGCCTGGGCAGAGGTAGCAGGAGCTAGCTCAGACATTTTACAAAAGTTTGGATCAAGCTTTACATTTAAACTGATTTTTTCTTGTTTCTTTTTTTTAACATCAGCTGACAGACTTTTCTCCATTAATTTGCCATGTCAAATCAAAAAGCCACAAAAGTTTCAGGTGGCCACCCTGCCATTTCCACTTCCATTTCCGTAACTGTTCGTACAGCATCTTTGTAACTGATCCTGTGTCCCAAGTGACAGCTATCAGTATTCAGGAGTTATAAGAATTTTCAGGAATTTAAAATGCGAATCATCTTTCAGAGATACTCTAGGTAAGAACATAGAACAGCTAATCACATCAGACCAATTATCCATTTTCCCCACCAAGCTTGTAGCTATGCTTACATAGTGTGTGTACATCAAACAAAAGTACAAGTTGAGCAATCCTTCCCCAACATACCTTTCCAAATTCCCAGCAGACAGTCATTCAGGGATTGCCGGAGGCAGAGCCAATTTTGCTGGGCTCTTCTTTCACAGATTTGTCAAATCCCTCTTTGAACTGTTTATATATTTGACCTCTACGTATCCCATAGCAATCAAGCAAGAATAACATCCTCCTACAGCAGTAAAGCCACAATCTTCATAGGAATCTCTACATTCTGCCAAAATCTAAACAATAATCATTCATTTTGGGGGCAGGAAAGGGCTTCAGCTTACTGATACGCATATGAAAAACATGTCTCAAAAAGCCAGAAAGAAATCAAGGGCGATAAGATTAGCTGAGAGAAAAGCATCTTGGGAACCCTTGACTTCAGTAAGAAAAAGATAGGATATTTCTTCCCCTCAAAATTTACTAAAAACAAACTGCGTTTCTTCCTGTTTCTGTCTCCCCACCCCCCCCCAAGCAAATCTGTTCCTTAAAAGAAATCATAATTTTCTATGGTCTTCTCTGATTTTAGGCAGGGGAAGCTTTAGAGATTGAAAGGTGATGTCGGAAAATTTCATAGTGTTTCCCCTAAACTTTATGA